TTAACTTCTCAGCAAATGAAAGGTCTCTTTGTCTCCCCTCCCACAACAGACTGACCGGAGAAGGTGTTGGACCTGTGAACATCTGTGAGTACAAATCTTGGGTTGACAGAAAAGTGGGAGACAAAACAGAAGCTGATAGTGTTACTGACAAGGATTTAGTGACTGAATAGGACAAAGCTGGGCAGCAATGTCATTAAGCCCCCCTTAGGAGCTCTGTGGAGACCCCTCTCTTCTTTGGCCCTTCATCCCAGCAATGTCAAGAGAGACTTGTAGTGACCCCTCACCCCCAGGGCTGTCGCAGTGGCGCCACATGTCCACACGAATGACTCTGCTCTGGCCCCAGAGGGCTCAGTTACAGGAATCCCTGGTTTGAACGTCAGATTTCTCAGCTAGTTCTGGCAGGAACTCAAACTCACACAACTAACAAGAAACCACTCAACAGGTTAAATGCCAAGAACCTTGTTTAGAATTGAACACATGAATTGAACGAGTAAAGCACTGGCTGACCTGGCAAGGAGTGCAGGTGCGCAGCCTTCTCCTTCCTGCTCACCAGAGAGAGCCAGGGAGGAAGCACCCCACAGCACAGCCCAGCAGGGCTGATGGGGCATTCAGGCAGTGCCGAGTCCCATCCTGGGCCTGGGCAGCAGAGTCCCCCTTGGGGGACCATGTTAGGGAGGCTGGAAAGCCAGGATGAGAAGAGTTTGAAAACAATCAATAACAGGAGCAGGAACGCTTCACCAGGAGGAGCAGACACTGAGACGGGAGGTCAAAGAGCCATCTTCACACGTTTGATGGGCTGTGGGAGCTGCATCCCAAAGGAGTGAGCTCCCTGTTGCTGAAAGTATTTGAACAGAAGCTAAATGTTTGCCTCTGGGTGCAACAGAAGGTATTCCCACCCAGGGAGATCCGCGCCCAGTGTGGGAGTCTGTGATCTCCACACAGGTACAAGACCTCACGTTCCATCCAATTATGAGAGCCTGGGTATAGGTAGGAATAAACATAGCATAGGAGTCTATGCCTCGGCTGCTGGCAGGTGGGACCCTGGACAGGCCACCCAATGTCATTGCGCCTCCCTGTTTCCCTCTGTAACATGGGGGGCATTGTAGAGATGGCTTCTCTCAGGCTGAGATCAGTGTGGCCTCAGTTGTAGGAGTGTGCCATTCAAAAATGGCAGGTCCTGTACAGATGCTCAAGTTGAGGTAGCTTGTGATGGGGACAGTGAGTCTGGGCCACCCTCTCTAACCCTGGCTCTGGGGACTGAGGAGATTTCTGCCCCCTGAGGAAGCACGATGGGAGGGAGCCAGTATGGGCGCTGGGAGGGTGGGTCTGGGGGCTCCAAGGAGCCTGCCAGCACGCCTGTGCCTTCTCTCCACAGCCGTGGTCTCCTCCTCGGGGGGCACAGGCTACAGCGGGAGTGGCGGCCTCTGTGCGGGTGGAAGCGGCTACAGCAGTGGCCTTTGCTACAGCGGCAGCGGCTTCAGTTCCACCAGTGGCCGCGGCGTGAGTGGCAGCAGCTCCAGCATGCGCATCATCTCCAAGACATCTTCCACCAAGAAGAGCTACAGGAGCTAAAGGCCCTGCCTGCCTCGGCTGCCTCCTCCCTCTTCCTGATTCCCACCTAAGGCCTGTTGCTTTGCTGACACCCCATGCACATGCAGGAGGCACAGGGAGCAGGCAGTGAGTGGCCAGTGAGCCCTAAGGTCACCTTCTCCATCCCTCTGCCTCTAGAGGTCACCTTATCCATCCCTCTGCCTCCAGACAGGTCCCCATGGAGGTATGCCCCTCACTTCCTATCCCAGGGCCCTCCCACAGGCATCCATGCCAACTAACACTAACTCAACTGCTGTGCCAAGACCAGAGCTGGGACTTGCCTCAGTAGCTTCCAGAATAGGGGTGCAGTAGGGTCTTCCTCCTTCTGCCCAACCCAGACCTACTGCAATGCCACTGGGGGACTTAGAATTGGACTTGGTGCCCCAAATAAGTTGACTGTAGTCCATGCCAGAGTCTCCACCCTATGTGCTTCTCACGGCAGACAGACCATTTTTCCTGCAGGTCCCCTCAAACGATTGCAATCCCCTCACCTCCTTCCCTCTTGGCCCTGCCCAAATCCCCAGCCACTTCTCCTGACAACTCCCACCATCAGAATATTTGAAAGAGTAATCAACACCCTTCAGAATATTACCAACTTGATTATTCATACTAGGATGGAATCTCCATGGCCTGGAGCTAAATTCCATGATAAATCATAGCCAAATTTCTTCCAAATCTGCCTCATTAAAGTCAATATTAGAACTGTCATCTCTAACAGAAATGTCCCGTGGATGAGTGGGAGGAAAGGAAGCTCCCGGGAGAGTAGGCTGCAGCCACACCAGCAGGAGGGGCCACTTAGCCTGTGTCTGAACCGCCCTGGGAGAGCCTCCTGCGATGGTCCTCCAGGCCGGAGCTTCTCTCTCCTCTGCTAGCCACATCTCTCTTTGGGAAACTTTTCTTTCCGTTTCACCTACCCATTCACCTTCGCTCCTTTTCCTACCCATCCTTTACCAGCTTATGAGTCTCCCTTCTAAGCTCCCTCCTCCTCTCTCCTTTACTTCCCTCTTTTCTTCCTCTCCCACTCATCCATTTGGCAGTGTATGTCCTGCTCTCTCTCTCTCCTAACCTTTCTTTTTCTATCCCTCTGTCTCTGACATGCCTGTGGTGTGGATTTGCTGGTCGCCAGCTCTAGCTAGAACTGAACCTCTTTAAGGCAGCCCAGTAAAGTCCCTGCCCCACGGGCAAGGCCTAGGAGAGCAGACTCTGTTAGGAAGACAGGTATATCCTCCCTCCCTCCCTCCAAGAGGATGCGTTCTCAGGCCATGGAAGGAAGCAGAGGGAGGGCCGCAGTGGAACAGGGAGTGGGGTAGGCACAGATATCGTCCCAAGGCTGGTCTTCATGCAGTGGTTTGAAAAGTTGTAAGCTCTCAAAACACCTGCCATATATTCAAGACCAAAAAGCATTCCAAGGGCAAGGAGGGGCTGGCTGCTGCACCACTGACATGAAGATAGGAGAGTTCACAACTTCAGAAAAGTCACTCCTACTCTGATCATTTCAAACCCTTCAGAATTGCCTGCTCCCTGTGCCTGCCTGCTTCCTAAAATAGCTTCAATAAAATGTCACCGAGCTTTCCAGGCTTGACTGAGTCTGTATCCTATCTCACACTTAGAGGGCCTCCAGGGAGCCCAACACAGTCAATGAGACCTTGCTCTGGCCTGAATGTGGTGAGAGCAGGCTCTGTGGTCTTACTTCTCAGTGTCACCATCACCACCATCTCCTGGGCCCCACCTCTGTGATGCTTTCTCCAGGGAGAATGAGAATCCTCTTCCCCTGACATCATGCAACCCGGCCCCACCCTACCCCACCTCAGCCTCCCACTGTTGCCCATGACCTCTTGTCACACCCCTGACCTCCCCAAGCCCCAATCTTCCCTCCATAGCACTCTAGGATCCAAAGTCAATGTGATGACAAAGGGGACAGTGTGAAATGTCACAGAGAATTTTGGAGCACTAGAAACTGCTGACTTGCAGTCTCCTAATCTAAAGGTAGAACAGAGAAGACATAATACATATTGGTGATAGACCCCCATTCCTCACCCAGGCTTCTCTCCACCAGCAGCAGACCACAGTGACGTCAGAAACAACAGCATTGAATCCCAGCCCATCACAGACAAACTGTGTGGTTTGGGGTGGTTACTTAACCACTCTGTTCCTCACTTTCCTTAGCTGTAAAATTGAAACTACAGCATGGTGTCCCCATAATAATTAAATGAGAAAATGATGTCACACTCAGGGTAGTCCCAGCACACAGAAACAACCTAATACATGTTACTGCTATTATTATTGGCTTGATTATTGACCTGGAAAAAGGTCAGCGTGGAAGGGAAAGACTAGCCGGCCCCAGCAGAGGCTTCACTGAGGGACTGCTGGAAAGGGCAGGGAGAGGACTGGCGTCGGGGAGGTTTCAAGCATCTCCACAGAGCCGGGACTGGGGTGCTGGGGAGAAAGCCTGTATCCCACACCTACCCAAACATTCCCTAAGGCAACGACTGTCCTCGCAGATGTCTGCAGGTCATAGCAGGCTCTACCTCCCTCAGGGAGCCTGGGAATGTGGGGAGAAAAAGGGGAAAGGAACAGTGACATGGACCGCAACCTCATGGTTGACATCAGGACCTGTTTCAGAGGCTGGAAGAATCTTGGGGAGATCACACCTTCCCCTCCTCTCTTCAAGCCCCAGGCATTTCCTCTGGAGTCCCCTGCAGCCTTTTTTGGACCACACAGGCCCTGAAGACAAGAGTATATATCTGGGACCTTCTACCTTGGAGCCCTAGTGGGAAAGGGGGCTGCTGAGCAGGAGCCAGGACCTGCCTGGCCTGAGGAGGGCGAAGCCCAGCCTGCTTAGGGGGGGCTTCCCACCCCAAAAGCCTTCCTCCCTGGGAGCCTCTGGGCTCACTGAGGAACCCATAGAGGGCACTTGGGTCTGAAGCATCTGCAGGAAAACATAAAAACAGCCTTGGAGAGATGGAGCCTCCTCATGCATGTCTGATTTGGTCTCTAATCCCAAGGCAGCCAGGGTACATGATTCACCCCCACCCCCACAGTGAAATGGCATAAAATCTCAGCTCTCCCTTTCCTTGAGGCTGAGCCACTGAATACACCAAACACTTCTGTCTGCTTGGCCCTCTCATCACCCTGTAAACAAGGAAGGAGGACAAATAGAAATTTTATAGGGCCCACCAGCATCGATCATTGGCTCCTTCTCTTTGCTCTTTGCTACCCTAATTATCCACTTTGCATTTAGCAGCTGCCAATGTCCCAAGCTCATAAACCTGATTTAATGGTGGTTTACGGTTTGATCTGGCTCAGCCCTCCATCTCCCACCAGATAAAAGGGTGGAAGCTGAGCTGACCTGATAATCGTGCTTCCCATTGTCCCCACGAGAGCCCACCTCCCTGCCTCTCTCTCCTGCCATGCCGTGCCACACCTTCCAGCAGGGCTCCGGAAGCGGCAGTAGGAGCTTCAGCTCATGCTCAGCTGTGCTCCCCCGAATGGTCACCCACTATGCGGTGAGCAAGGGGCCATGCCGGCCCGGAGGCACTGGGGGCCTCCGGAACCTGGGCTGCCTTGGCTCACGGAGCCTGTGCAATGTGGGCTTCAGGAGGCCCCAGGTCGCCCCCAGGTGTGGCCCACCTGGCTTCGGGTACCGAGTGGGGGCTGCCTGTGGGCCTTCTGCCTGTATCACCCCTGTCACCATCAATGAGAGCCTGCTGGTCCCACTTGAGCTAGAGATCGACCCAACCGTGCAGAGGGTGAAGACAGATGAAAAGGAGCAGATCAAGTGCCTCAATAACCGCTTTGCCTCCTTCATCAACAAGGTGAGAGGGAGGGCCCCAGGGTCTAGGGCCACGGGATGCAGAGAACACCCTGTCTGGTCCAGGGAATAGGAAGAGACCAATGGTATCGAAGACACAACTGATTCACTGTGTACTCCACAACCACTAGATCTGGTTAGATCAGGCTCAGCACTAGACATTTCTGCTTGCTAGTCCTTTTTTTAAAATATGTCATCTCTCTCTGATGTGACCTGATAAAATCACCAAGGTTGCCTGAGGTCAGACTATAAGAAGAACTTCCAAAGCAATGATAGATACAGAAAAAAAAAGACCAAAGAGCAGAGCACAGCCTTTCCTGATGTGGCTTTAACAACAGACTGGCGCCTTCTGAGAGCCTGAGCTGGGGGGGAGACCCCGGCACTTGGAGGAAGGGATGGGTGCTGTGACCCTAGAATTTGCCACCAGCTTAGGTCTGGGGTGAAGGTGGAGTAGTCAGAGCTGGGCACACAAAGTAGTTGGAGCCACAGCTCTGAAAGGCTGTAGGGAAGGGTGACATGCCAACTGTGGATGACACTGAACTGGCCATCACCCTCAGCTGCCCCTAGGCCTGTCCCCACACCCCAGGCAGGCTCTTGGGGTCAGGATACATGCCAAGGGCTGAGCCGGTGTTTCTGGTGACCTCAAGGTTTAGGGCAAAATGTCCTGGGCCAGAAGGCAGGAGACCTGGGTCATCCTGGGTTTGGTTCTAGTCCTGTTTCCCTGAGACCCTGTGCCAACTGCTCACCTCTCAGCTTAAGAGATCTGGCTGCCACGGGGGGAAAGGAAGCGATGATGGTGGGAGAATTAAAGGAGGTGATATAGCAAAGGTACCCCCAAAAGAAATTTGTTTTCAGAAATGGGAACTTGTTATACTTAATTTTACTTTTAAAGCTCATCGAATTCTGGTAATAAACTCGCTGTAACAACGTGGGGCCTGATCATCAGCAATGTCACACACACCACTGCAACATAACTTCCTCTGTAGTTTTTCTTGAGAGACAACACACAGTATGGTAAATCCCAGGGCAAGGACAGGAGACCCTGCTCCCTTTGCCAGTGACTAATGGGGTGACTGTGATCTTCTCTCTCAGCTTCTCCTGATCTCAGTCTCCAAGCCACAGGAATGGAGGAGGTGGGCCAGCAGGTCTCCACGTTACTGTGATGTGGACATTTTTTTATTGAACCCACGGCAGGTTGTGGCAGCTTAGGTGAAAAGGGCTCAGAGTGACAAAGCCTTTGATCTAACCTTCTGCCCTGAGCACCCCAGGGTTGTGGCTGAAGAAAGCCAGAACTCCCAAGTGTAATGTCATCATAACATCACCAGCTTACACTAGTACAAGTATTTACAACATGCTTGCCATCCACAACCCAAGTAGTTGCTTCAGGAAGCAAAGAGGGGCTTGAAGGGATGAGTGGTTTGGCCAAGGTTTCAAGACTAATGGGAAGCAGGCAGGCAGGGCTGGGAGATGGACTTGCCCCAGGCCTCTTGCGACAGTAATCCTTCTACTACAATGCAGCCCCTGGGTGGCAGGTGGGGTCCTATAAACTCCCCCAGGCAGGGGTGACACAGAAACATATCATCAGGTATCAGTCTACACAGAGACCCTAATCTGAATATTCTGGCACTTCGGCAGCAGTGTGTTGGTAGTAAGAACACAAACTGGTTCTGGTGCCCCATTGCCACCACTTACTCTCTCCAAGCCATGGTCCTCAGGGTCCCTGCTGCCCAGTAGCATCCTGTTGTTGGCTGCAGGTCCGGTTCCTGGAGCAGAAGAACAAGCTTCTGGAGACCAAGTGGAACTTCATGCAGCAGCAGAGGTGCTGCCAGAGCAACATAGAGCCCATCTTCGAGGCCTACATCTGTGCCCTGCGGAGGCAGCTGGACTGCGTGGCGGGAGACCGGGCCAGGCTAGAGTTGGAGCTCTGCGGCATCCAGAATGCAACGGAGGGCTACAAGAAAAAGTGAGTCTGCACTGCTCTCACCCCACTTGGGGACCTGGAGAGAGATACATAAACAACCTGGGCTCAGTGTCCCCATCTAGAAAATGGGCACCCTAACAGTTCCCTGGGTAGTAGAACATAAACAGGATAACATAGGCAAAGCATCTAGGATCTTGCCCATGAGGCACATGGTAAAAGCTCTGAAATCATGTACTGGTCTTTATTCCCTTTCCCACCACTTGCCTAAATAAGACCTTCCTCAGCTCAATGTAACACGTTCTTTCTCCTGATGTTTCCACTGCTCCAGGGCTCTGCTTACTGCCTGTTCTGCTTTATCTTGCATCAATCCCTTTGCAGATTCTGAATTACTTCTTATTCCCCAAATGAACCCCCAAATCCTCTTCTCTTCAAGCCTTGCTCCCACTGTTCCTTCTTCGTGATAAGCCCCTCTTAACTTCACCTCCCAGGACATCCAGGCTACCACATCCCCCATATCTGGCTCCCACAGCTGGAAGTCACCTTCCTCCCACTATCAGGCTCCATCTCTGGTCTCTCTTCCCAGTTCCCTGTGGTTAAGGCCCCCCGAGGACAGCTCTGGGCCTGACTTGCAGTGGGTGAACACACTTGATAAGCATAAGTTAATAAAGAGCTTGCAGGTGAGTAAGTCCAATGCTCGCAAGAGGCTTGAGGCCCAGAGCACTTGCCTCACAGATCCTGGGTGGGTCTCTCCAAGTCCAGGCCCCACAAGAGCACATGCTGGTGGGGGAGAGTTAAGAAACATTTCCAGTGACAAGAAACGGCGTAAATATATTGAAAGCAATGGTTCATAAGGGATGTGGGTCAGTGGAACAGAGCCGTGCTGGGGGGACATTCATGCTGCTGGTGTTAATTACATGCCTGCTCAGTGCCACAGGCTGTGCTAGTTGGGCTCCTTCCCTGAAGTTGCCCTGGTCTGGCATAGACCTCCATGCACAAGAGCAAGTACTGGGTACAGGGCAAATGGGGAGCAGACTCCCAAGAGAGTGAGAGAGCAGAAGGGACCAGGAGGTGCCATTTGCTTGGGGCCCTGCAGGGTGAATTTCATTCTAGTTGATTCTTCTAAAAAAGTCCATAGTAGATGCCATAAAAAGGAAAGGACAGAAGCAAGTGACAAAGAAGGGCCAAAGTGTGCCAACTGAAAGGAGACAACTCGAGCAGACTCTGATAGGCAAGATGTGGCAAGGCCGGGGGGCAACGAGGGAAGAAGAGTCCTCTCAACAGAGGCATTGCCTTTCTTGATGGTCAAGATACAAGATGGTCAGGAGACATGGTGTGCAGCTCAAGATGAGGACTTTGGATTTTAAAAGTGGGACAATAGGGAAGAATGAGGCATTTTAATAGCAATAGGCAATCTTACACAGTATATCCCCTGTGCCAGGCACGGGGCCTACTGCTTTGCAGATACTAACTCATGTGACATATTAACTCACAATAATTCTGTGCGGCAGAACCAGTGTTATCCTCATTCTGAAGGTGATGACACTGAGGCACAGAGAGGCCAGGTCACTTACCCAAAGTCACATGACTAGCCCCTGGTGAGCCAGCATTCAAACCCATAGCAGGCTCCAGGGCCCGTGCAGTGGCAGAATTCCGCTGCAAAAAGGAAGGATAGATATCAGGAAACACAGCAAAGCTTTTAATGCGTTGATGTCGTTCATCAAACTGAATCATTCCAGCCAGACTGAACCTCAACCCTGATTCCATTGCCCTGGGGGACAGGGAGTGGGCGAGGAGCTCTCGGAGCCTAGAGAAAATAGGTTTGTCACCATGGATCTGGTAGAGAAGGTAATTGCTACCACTGTAAGTGAGCTGCTGGTAGAGGCCAGGCTCACAACTCTCCTGGCAAGAAGGGGCACAGGGTCAGCAGGGATTTCTGGGACTGCAGCCAGCTCTCAGAGCAGCACAGAAGAGACGGCTATGCCAGCAACACGCAGCCAACTTATGGCCACCTTCCCAGAGGAAACAACTAGATGAAGTGGGCTTCCTTAGTAGCAAGATAGAATGAAGGTAGCCTTAAGAAGGACTTCCCAGAGGGTGAGTCATCGCAGGAACAGGCTTTGGGGGCCTGGGGGGGGAAGACAGAGGTAAACTTGCCAAGTGGCTAATGAGAGACTGTGATAATAATCGTCACCGGGAAAGGCTGGAGGAGCTAGAGGTGTCCAGAGACAGGGCCTGGCCCTGGTAACTCCTTAGGGCATTCAGTCAGTAAGAGGCAGATTTGCCCCCAAAGGCCCCTTCCCCCAGGCCTGATACCAAAACCCCTTCTAAACCCTGAAAGTCCAATGAAAACGTTTTTTTCCCTGCCCGTTCCACCAGGTATGAAGAGGAGCTCTCCCTGCGGCCCTGCGCTGAGAATGACTTTGTTGCCTTGAAGAAGGTGAGGGAGGATGGCATGGGGGATAATGCCCCTGGAGCTGGCCCAGCTGCCCTGGACACTCAGTCCCTGAACTGTGCCCAAATGTGCCTGTAGCCCACCCACCCCACAAAAGGGTCTCTCACCCCGCAGACCCCATACCAGTCCCACTGACCCTGGGAAAGAGGAAAGCTAGCCTCCCCCGGCCCCTTGCAAAGGGCAGTGACCTGGCCTCCACCTCCCAACTCATGTGGGCCAAACCTGGTTAAGGGTTGTGTCGACACCTGCCCAAGAAGCTGGGGATGTGGCTAATAAAAATAAAAATAAAAACTCTGACTCAAATCCCAAAAGATGAAAACAATAGAGGTGATTCCTCATACAGATAGCTCAGTGTTTTCTGGCCCAAGCTCTGCACAGAGCTCTGAGAAGCTGCACTCAAGGCTCCTTTAGACCCCACTCCCTTCAGATCCTTCCCCACCAGGGTGCCAGGCCCTCTGGCATGGGATCCTGAGGCCGGAGATGCCCCAACCCTTGGCTTTGTAACCCCTTTACTTCCACACGGGCCTAAGTGAGGAAAGGTGGGTCCCATCCTACCACCTGCCACCAGCTTGCCTGGGAGGTGGCCCAGCGGGCAGAGAGGGTGGTCCTCACACGCTCTCCAGGCCTCCAGGTTACCGTTGTCCTTGCTCTGGCCGCAGGATGTGGACACAGCCTTCCTGATGAAGGCTGACCTGGAGACTAACGTGGAAGCTCTGGTCCAGGAGATCGACTTCCTGAAAGGCCTGTATGAGGAGGTACCTGCAGCCAGGCCACCCACAGGTGGTCGTCAGGGGCTAGTGCCGTGGGCATGATGGAGTGGGAAGGTCCTGCCCAGTGGGTGCATTTCAAGGCAAGCTGATTTAACAGTGAGCACATGAGGAAATCAGCATGGACATGATTTACCTGGTTCTCAGGCAGTGAGATGCCCAGAAGTCAGATCACCCACACCTTGGCTCTGGGTCCCTGTATAACTAGAGGGTGGGGATGAGGAACAGGTTGGTGTTAAAGGCCTGGGACAGCCATGCAACGTCCTGTGCAAATATGCTGCAGGCAGGTCAGAGCCAGTTCTCCTCCTTCCTTCCCCCCACCGTCCTCCCTCCCTTTCTCCTCAAAGAACTCTCTTCTCATCTGGCGCCCCCACCCCCAGGAGATCTGCCTGCTCCAGTCTCAGATCTCAGAGACCTCAGTCATTGTGAAGATGGACAACAGCCGGGAGCTGGACATGGACAGCATCATTGCCGAGATCAAGGCCCAGTACGACGAAATTGCGAGCCGCAGCAAAGCCGAGGCGGAGGCCTGGTACCAGTGCCGGGTGAGGCCCAGGTTGGGCGGGGGTACCCCAGACCCACTACCCCCCAGGAAATGGGTGAGGAAATAATGAGGGCCGTGCCCCACCACAACAGCAAACCCCATAAACCCCAGCCCCTGTTGTTTCTTCCCAGCCTCAGGCCAGAGCATGTGGGAGGGAACCCCACAGAAAGCACAGGCCTATCATTAGGGTGCCAGGGTGTTCCAGCTTTATTCACCACAAAGTCGTTGGAAGTGCTCCTCTGAGCAGCAATTAAGACATGCTAATTGGCAATGATACCAGAGAGGGCTCTGGGCTTCAAGCGTGGGAAGCACTAATGGCACAGAGTGGTTACTAATGGTAGAGCAGAAACAGTGATTAAGGTAGCCCCAGACTTAGGTAATTAGGGGCTTGCTGGGAGAGTAGTTGATAGTCCCAAGGGCAACTTGATTTAACAAATATTATCTCAGAATCACCTGCCCTGTCTGTGAAAGGCACCATGCATTCATTAATTCACTCTTTCATCCACATATTTATTCATTCAACAACTGGTTTTTGAGCATTCCTCATGTGTCAAGCACCATTCTCAATGCTCAGTTCCAGCAGGGACCAGAACAGACAGCAATCTCTGCCTTCATGTCACTCATTCTAGAGGCAGGGACAGTGGAGGGACAGACAATGAACAAGATAAATAAATACAGTTGGATGTATGTCAGGTGGCAATGCATGGCATGGAGAAAAGAAATCAGGGTGAAGGGTAAGGAGTATTGTGGGAATGTTTTAAATGGAGTGTGCAGAAAGGATGGCTTTACTGAGGTGTGTGGCACCACGAGGACAGTAAGAATCAGACCATCCTTCCCTGTCCACAAAGAGGTTACAGTCCAAGGGGATAGAAACACCAACACATAACCAACCAAACAAAAACAAGTTAGCAGGAAGTGGTTGCTAAGGTCAAGCAGCAGCAGCTAAAGGAATATGAAGATGACAGAAACAGATGTTTCTGGAAAGGTAGAGACATTGGTACTTGATCTGGATCTTGAAGGCCATGTACAATTTCAGCAAGCAGAGCATGGGGCAGGGTATGTCTGGCTGAAGGGCAGCAGGAGCCAGGCAGCAAAAGCATGAAAGTGAGGTGCCCAGTGTGAAGCACCATGAAGGAGGGCGGGGTGGCGAGTTAGCCTGAGGCCAGGTCACAGCAGGTCTGCAGAACTTCAAGGAGTACTTAGGACTTTTTTCTGAAGGCAGTGGGTGCCACTGCCCAGACAGAGCCCCAAGCGGTGATCTGCCTGTTTTCTGGAGATCTCGGGTGATCAAAGCTATCAGACCCTGGAGTCAGCTCCCAGTGACAGTCTGTGGCCGGTGCGAGGCCGGCTCTCACACCGCTGGCCTCTCCTCCAGTTGCTCTCCTGGGATACCCATCATTCAGGTGGGCTCAGGAAAAATGATCTCATCCTCCTAAGTGAGAACCAGAAAGACAGCTATCATTTAAGGATTGTATTTAGCTGTGAGGATCACAAATCCAAACAGAAAAAAAAAGTGAAATTCACTTTTTTACTTTTTTCTCAAATAGCTTAAATTATAGAAACAGACTGCCCACGGATGACATGAAGTTTCTATGTCATCATCAGGGTGATATAGACAGGCTCCTCCCTTCTAGCTTTCTGTTCTGCCATCCTTAACATTGTTTTAATCTTCATGCCTGCCTCACGTCCCAAAATGGCTGCTATACCAGTGATCTCACATGTTCACTCTGGGCAGGAAAAAGAACAGAGGGCAAAGAAAACATGCCAACTGAACCATCCCCCACTTTAAAGAACTTTCTTGAAATCTCTTCCCAGCAATAGTCAAATTCTTATTAATGACAAGCCTGAGAAGTATTCTCTTATCTGGGCTTATTGCCACCTCAAACAAAAGCAGAGTTCTGTTTGAAGGGGCGAGTGGAGACTGGTTAGAGAAGGAAAGGATTTCCCACAATAAGCAAATAACAAAAGAGCCAAAGAGAGTGATTTATGCTTATCTCTTGTTTTGCATTTTCCATGCAAATCGCTCCCATCCATTACCTGCAGAACATCTCAAGTCGGCAAATTTAAAAAAATCTATAATGTTATTCAGAAATTGAATTCAGAGTTGCAAACATTAAAAAAAAGTGTTAAGCCGAAGTAAGAAGTAATACTACACGTTGTTTTCAATTGTTCTGAAGGGGACTGAACAAAGGTACTCACCCTGGTGGGCAGATGTGATCTGTCCTCAGTCCCTGGTCTGCTCAGTGTCCTCAGGCTGGACACAGAAGGCCTTCCCAGGCCCAAGGGCCCGCAGGAGACCCTCAGGCTCTGGGGCAGAGAGGAAAGGCTGAGACACAGAACAGTTAACCAGAGGGGATAGGGGCGCAGAGCTTAAAGGAGAATGTAATAAGGCTGAAGGTTCAGGGAGTTGAAAAGGGAATAAGGAGCAGCCCAGAAAAAGACCCCCAAATTGACCAGAAATGGAAAGGGGATGGAGAGCAGAACAAGTATAAAAATCCAGAGGGCATCTGAGCTGGGAAGCCACCAGAGGAGAACCGAGGGATAAGGAGCAAGGGGGCGAGGAGGGGTCACGGTGTGGGCACGTGGGCTCTGACCTCTGGTCCTGGCAGTATGAGGAGCTGCGGCTGACAGCCGGGAGCCACTGTGACAACCTCCGCAACCACAAGAACGAGATCCTGGAAATGAACAAGTGGGTCCAGCGGCTGCAGCAAGAAACTGAGGCTGTAAAAGCCCAGGTAAGGCTGGAAGACCTTTTTCTGAGGGCTCATGATGGGCTCCCAGGTCATGCAGGGCTGGTCCATCCTCCCAGGGAACACTGTTGAAGAGGGAATAAACTTGTGCAGTCTCAGTTGAGAGGCAGCAAGACCTTTCTACAGAAAGAGCTGATCAACAGAAGGAGGAGCGGCCTCAGCAACGGCCAGCACCCCAACAGAGGCCAGGCAACCTACTGCCAGAGACAGCAAGGATGCCTCACTAGGTGGGAACACAGAAAAGATGGTCTCCATGATCCCTTCCAGCCTGAAGGACTGTCACTCCAGGATGCTGAAGCCCAAGGTGACTCTGAGGAGTCCCTAAAATCAGACCCCCTCTGTTCTCATAGTCTGGTGAAGGCGAGCCAAACACGTAACTTCTACTAGCTCTAAACTCCATTAGATCCAAAGAAATTGCTCAGCATATCTAAGAGGAAGCTCTCAGAACTCCTTGAAGTGTTATAGACAGGAGAACTGGTCCCAATTCTCTGGAGCAACCAGATGTCACAATCCTAGGATGAAACCATCAGTAGATTTGAATCTGTTTGTAGCCATGACAGTGTAGAAAAAACTCACTGCTCCTCCTGTGTGTCTCCCTGACTCTCACACCACTACCACACTCACAACACTTCTGACTGCAGATAGGGGTTCTTCCCACATAGGCAATTCTCTAACACCAGCTGGGTGTCCTACAATTTAGCTCAATCTGGACACCATCTACCTGGATTTAGCATCAGATCCTGTAGGGTTAAAGACTCAGTCCCACAAGACTGAGCCACTTCAGATGCCAATCCCAAGTCCAGGTTGTCCCCTATGCTTCTAACCAATCAGCTGTAAGTCCAAGGTTCCCTTGACCCCTCCTCTGGTTCTAATAATTCACTGCAGTGGCTCACAGAACTTAGGAAAAGAGTTAACTTCCTGTTTATCAGTCTCTTATAAAAGACCCTGATAAGGGATACAGGTGAACATCCAGATGAAAGAGATGTGTAGGGCGAGGTATGTATATGGGAAAGGGTACAGAGCTTTGACACTCTCTCCAAGCCCACCACTCTCCCAGCGCCTCTATGTGTTCACCAACCTGGAAGCTATCTGAGCCCTGTACTTTTGGAGTTTTGTGGAGGCTTATTCACATAGGCATGATCAGTGCTTAGCTCTATTTCCAGCCCCTCTCCCCTCTCTGGAGAAGTGGGTGATGGGGCTGAAAATTCCAAGCTTCTAATCATGGCTTTGGTGAGCAGCCTCCATCCAGGAACCATCCAGGAATCCACCCAGAGCCACCTGACTGCTATCACTCGGGCAATCCTAAGGGCTCCAGGGAACTCCATCTGAAATCAGGGTCAAAGACCAAATATTAGAACAAGAGATGCTCCTAATGTTCTTATCACTTCCGAAATTACAAAGTATTAGGAGCTCTGTGCCAGGAACAGGGGGCATAGACCAATACATATTTTTTCTGTTGTCTCACATGACCATGTTCTCTCTATTCTCCTGAGAGTCAGCCTATGGCTCCCTGGGCCCTCAGTGATGCCTTTCTGTGCCCTGTCCCCCAGCGCTGTAAACTCGAGGGTGCCATAGCTGAGGCTGAGCTGCAGGGCGAGGCCGCCCTCAATGATGCCAAGTGCAAGCTGGCGGGGCTGGAAGAGGCCCTGCAGAAGGCCAAGCAGGACATGGCCTGCCTGCTCAAGGAGTACCAGGAGGTGATGAACTCCAAGCTGGGCCTGGACATCGAGATCGCCACCTACGGGCGCCTGCTGGAGGGCGAGGAGCAGAGGTTAGTCAAGGCTGGGCACCAGGTGTGTATATGCTCCTGCCCTCTGGCTGCTCTTGCTCAACGGGCAGTCACGGATAAGCCAGAGTGGCACAGAGTCAGCAGGCCTGTCTCATTAACATGGTCCACGATGAGGGCAGGAGAAGGGGGTGCTGCCAGTTTATGGCCTTGTTAATCTGTGATGCAGTCATCTCGTTGTCTTCTTTCCTCTTGTCCCCAGGCTGTGTGAAGGCATTGGGCCCGTGAATATCTGTGAGTAGATGAGCCCTCTCCAAAGGCCCTGGGGTCTTGGGGACTATCAACCCAACATAGACAGGCAACACCACCTCCTGCCCAGACCTCAGCATGCCCCACACACACCAATGGGAGAGTTCTGTCTGCCAGGAGTCCCTGGCAGGATGGAGAAGCTCTCCCTCAGGTCTAGCCAAGCCTCTGGGGTCAGAATTTGGAGCAGATAAGCAGCATGGTCCCAGTGCCTCACAGCCCCGACTACAAGGCACTTTACTGACAAGGGAATGCTTTTCTGGGTTACAGCAGGCTCAGACAAGCTGAAAGTGAGAGAGGGTGAAGTAGAAGCCAAGGCTCTGGGGAAAGAAGAGAGGCACAGGGCAGCTTCTAGGCACTTTATTATGGCTGGCGTGGGAGACATGGAAGTTGGTAGCTGGCATGGGAGTGTCCTTAGAAGCAAGTGGCAGCAAAGGGGGTAGGATGGCCTTGCTGAGACATTTCAGGAAAATGCCCTTAGAGCCATACAATGCAGGACGCTGAGTGTCCCTTCCTGTGCCAACAGCTGTGAGCAGCTCCAAAAGCACTGTCCTGTACGAGCCATGTGTGGTCAGCACACCTGTGCTGAGGACCGAGTACTGCCCAGGGAGCACCACTGTCCTCCAGAGCAGTGCTGGCCGCAGCTTCGTGGGCACTGGTGAACTCTACATTCCCTGCGAGCCCCAGGGGCTGCTGGGCTGTGGGAGTGGGCGGAGCTCCAGCATGAGGCTGGGGGCTGGGGGAGGCTCCTCCCACCACAAGTGTTAGCAGGGCCCCAGAGGCTAGAAGCCCAGGGAACAGGGTGCCAACCCCCCTCCTGGTTGTCACCCCCTGACCAGGGCTGGAGACAAAGATATTCCAAAACCCCATCTTCCTGTATAGGCCCCAGGTTTCCCTTGGGTTTTCACTGGGAGCTACCACTCAGGTATCTTCAAGAGACATCTTTCACTTAGCTGTGTGCAGACCCTAGGGGTGGGGGTGGGATGCAAAGAAAGAAAATGCTAAGCATCACCCATACCCCTGACCTGCTGAGAGTCAGGCCCTGGTGTGGCCAAGAGAATGGCAGTAGCCCCAACCACTGCTTTTCCAGATGAGAAGGCCAAATGGGCACATCACAGCTATGCTTGCTGGCTTACCCCATGGAAGTTTCCCCACAAAGTCAGCCTCCTGCTACACCCAGGGGTCCCTCACCTCCCTTACCTCTGACTGTCATGCACCTAAAAGTGAACTTCTTTTAACACCCACCTAAAACATGCACTATCACAAACATCAACAGGAGACACCCCAAAATCTCATTCTGAATTCCATAGCAAAGTGTCAGGATTTCAGGGTCACACAAGACCTGTCAGTGTCCTCTCGGCGCACAAATAAAGAGGTGGTCTTTGGGCAGTAGATTTACCTGCTCAGGTGTGTTGAACTCACACTGTGAAAAGACATCTTTTTTCTGAGCTCACATTGGCAGCTGATGGTGGGAAAATGCCTAGAACACAGGCAAGGGGGCGTGGAGTATTTGCTGGACAGAGGGACAACCCTCTGAGCTGACATTATTTGCTCCGTGGAATCAAGCCTCACACCCACCTTCAGTACATTGCCACTCCATTCCTGCTCCCTCTCCCCTTAGCTCCTCTTGCTTGGGGTCTGATATGAATGTGTTTTCCTGGCTGCAGTGATGGGGGTGCTGCCCAGCCCACTTGGAGGCTCTGGCTCAGGGGCCAGAGGGAGGAGGAGGAGCTGGGCTGACTCCACCCCCAGAGGCCCCGCCCTTCGTGCGGCATCCTGCCAACGCCCCGCCCACCCAGGGACCAACCACCTCTGCCCTGAGCCTCTGGGCTTGTCTGTTCCCAATAAACTGACTGTTCACAGGCTATAGGAGGCAGGATTATTCACCCTAGTCTGTGGGGTGCAAGAAGACGGAGGGGAAAGACTGATGAGCAGCCTTTGGGGGCTGGGTCTAGGAGGGCTTGGGAGCAGAAATGAAAGTTCTTTACAAATGGGAAAACTACATATGAATAATTGGCAACTGGCCTGTGGAATAAACGCGGATCCTTGTAAATCACACCTGAAACCTGCCCTTCACACCCCAAGAGTCTGCAAGTGACTTCCCACGTAAAAACCACAGGCCTATTGCGTGGAGGCCTCCTTACCATTTGGTCCCCTGCACAGGTCCTAAAAGTGGGGTCCCCATCATGTCTCACTTAGCCACCTCCAGGCCTGGGCTCCACCTCCTGTCCTGGAGCAGTCCGGGGGCAGGGCAGGGGCAGGCCTGGGGAAAGTAGCAAAATGGGCAGCGGCCCAGCTGGGGAGAGGGGGCCCCTTAATCTCCACTACCCTCCAGAGTCCAAGACCTGGAACTGAGCCCGGGTAGCAGCAGTCTCAGCTTCTGCAGGGTCCCCATGTCCTCCCGGCTGCCTCACTGATCCCCTGGAACAATCCCCTCCTCACAAATTCCCCCTGTGGCTCCCCTTTCCTGAGTCTGGGGTGCAGCTGCCCCTCCCTACAGCCCCTCACAGAGCATCTGTTCTGTGCCAAGCCCTGTGTTAGAAGAAGGTGACACAGAGGTGACTAAGATACCCTCAACCCTGGAGGGACTCTCAGCCTCCTCTCTGACAGAGGAGTCATGGGCAACAGGGACAAGAGATTCCAGGAGCAACAAGATGAAGTGAATAATGGTTATGCCTGGAAAGGGTCAGAAAGAGGTTCACAGAGGAGACTGTAAGGACAGAGTCTGAACAGAATCTTAGGGTTATAGATTTACAAGCAGCATATTCAAAAGAGCCCATCTATTCACTTTTTTATTCATTCAATACATATTAATCAAGCACCTGCTATGGGTCAGGGCACCTAGCACCTGGCAACACAGTGATGAACAAGACAGTCCTGGTCAGGGTAGACTTACCCAGCAGGCACTGTGGACACAGGACCTAGAGCCCATGTAGGAACTATAAAAAGGTGTGGCCACTTTGGGAAATGGTCTGACAGCTCCTTAAAATGTTAAACACAGAGTTATCAAGTGACCAAGCAATGCCACTCCGAGGTATACACTCAAGAGAAATGAAAACATCTGCCCCCACAAAAACTTGTACATAAATATTCATAGCAGCATTATCCAGCCAAAAGGTAGAAACAACCCCATGTCCATCAACAGACAAATGGATAATCAAAATTGGCACATCCATACAATGGAATATATTATTTGGCCATAGAAAGGACTGAAGTACTGACACACGCTACAGCACGGATGAACTTGGAAAACATTATGGTAAGTGAAAGAAACCAGACACAAAGACCTTATATTCTACAGTTCCATCCATATGAAAGTCCAGAATATGGAAATCTATAGAGGCAGAAAGCAGATTGATGTTTGCCTAGGGCTGGAGGGAGGAGAGACAGGGCCAGCGGGAGGTATGGCGGGGTGAGCTAAATGGCTTTTTCTAAGGTGATGAAAATATTCTCAAATAGATTGTGTTGATGGTTGCACATACCTGGGGATACACTAAAGCCATGAAGTTGTACATTTTAAGTGAGTGGATTATATGGTAAATGATTACATCTCAATAAAACTGTTTTTTTAAAAAATGGGGCCCTGGCCCCAATCCTTGCCTATGGGGCTCACAGCCTAGCAGGAGGTACAGACCTGGAAGAGGAAATTATAGACAGGAGGACTGTTGGGAAGGGGGATACAACTGAGGGTCCCGCTCTGGTCCTGGGCCTCAGGAAGTCCCCAGGAGGAGGGGCAGGATAGCTGGATCCTGAAGGGCAGCAGGGCTCAGGGGCAGGAGGCACTGTGGGGGTTTCAGGCTGAGGGATCAGCAGCTGTGAGGGACACGGCATGGCACCCGCCCTGGGAGTCTGTGGTTCCAGGGCCGCACATCCACACTGGGGGAGGGAGGGAAAGAACAATGGGGCCTCCCAGCTGCAGTTCCTGCTTGCAGCCCTGTCACTCTGGACCTGGCCCAAGAACCAGCTAAGCTACTTGCTGATTAGTAACACAAAGCTCTGGAAATACAGACGCTCTGGCCTGGAGTCAGCAAAAACAGATTGCAGCGGACTGCCCACCTCTGTCCCATAGATGACTACCTGAAGTCAGAGAAATACCCCTCTGGAATAAAGGAGGGTGGGGTGACACTCCCCAAGCCACTGGGAGATGGCGCAGGCCTGGCCACTGTCCCTTTGGGAGGTCCCACTGCAGAATGCCCAGGCCCTGGAGAGGAGAGGTTGCCTTGAATCGCCCACCAGGCACACCTCATGGCAGCAGGTGGGTGCCCACCTCAGTCCTGGATGTGAGCTCAAAGACCTTAGCACTGCCCCTGAAGCTCCACAGAGGAGCCCCCCAGGGCCATGCAGTGCCCCCATTCTCCCTCTCTTCCCTGTGTGGGAGGAGATGACCTGGCGCGGGTGGGACAGAAGTGCCTCCTGGTGGTGGCCCTGCGGTTCACACCCCATTCACTTGTCAAACATCTCCTGAGCTTCTTTCCAGAGCCGGTCCCATGCTGGGTGCCGGGGTACCGGGAGGGTCAGGCCTCAGCCCCCCGCCCTCCTGGAGGAAGGGCAAACATCGTGTGGAGCCACAGCCTCAGTGCCTTCCACTTGGCCTCAGGAACCCAAATCCCAGCCTCCTCAGGGGCCTGAGTGAGGACAGGCAGGAGCAGCCCAAACAGGCCTGGGGTGGGCAGGAGGACCCGGAGCAGAGCTCCTTGTTTTGGCCCGCCTCCCCAGAGGGCCTCCCATTTCCTTGTCCCTCTTCTCAGCTGGTTGTCACCTCCCCACGTGGCCCTTCCTCACCCCCATGCTGCATCCCTCGGATGCCCCCACCTCTGCCCCCAGGGCCCCTTCCTCATTCCAGTCCCCTCAGTGGCCACTGTCCATCTCCCAACTCCCCACACTGGGGCTCTGACTAGGGGATGTGGATTCAGAAATGGCACTGTGAACAGCGGAGGGGAGCTCAGGATCACTGAATGTGCCAGATGGAAGAGGGCAGTCCCCAACCATCGCAGCACCCAAATACAATGCTGGGCACACATGGGCACCCAGTTAGGTTTCCTGAAGCAAACCAACCTGTGCCCCTTCGAGGTGCATCATTCTCACCCAGGATAGGTGACAGCTGTATGGGCAATGTGAGGAATTTGGATTAAACCTGAGAAAATCATCCTGCCTGGAAGGATGTGAATGGTCCAAACAAGAGGGGGTGTTTTATCTCTCCTGGGGAGGTGTTACGATTCCGTCTAAGGGCAGGAGGGTGGAGGACCTAGGCAGGGGTGGACTCAGCCTCTCCCCTTGGTGCCCTCGTTCTTCTGGGGGACTCCTTAATTCCCTTCCCACAAGTGCAGGTCTCAGCACGAACACCTCCCAGTGAGTGCCTCTCTCCTGCACATACTTGTACCCGGGCAAAATGGAAACACTCTGAAGAAGGTGGCATGTAGCAGAGCTTCCTCAGCCTCTGGGATTTCCCTGTCACCCTCCCTCCCTCCCACACACACACACACAGCCAGGCTGCGCCCAGGGCTCCCAGACCCTACTTAGCCAAGGAGGACAAGGCCTCTTCCCCCACTCCCCTGGCAGCTTGTCCTCCTCCCCGCTCCACAGACAGCCTCGCCAAGAGCTGGCAATCACCCTGAGGCAGCACGGTGAGGAGCTGTGGCTGGGTGCAACAGTAAGAACAGTAAGATGAAACAGTCAGGGCAGCAGGCCTCCAGCCTGGCATTTCCAGGGCAACGCCTGCCGCCTCCCTACACACCACCCTTAAACAATGGCTGAGGGTTGTATCATGCATCGTCTGGTGAAACAATGCCTCAGAACTATAAACTGCTGATGGGGACAGCTCATCCAAGAGCAGGGCTCCTCCACCTACCCCCACCCCGCCCTGCCTGGTCAGGGCTGAGGAAGCTGAGACTGGGGACAGTCCTGGGAATGGCTGATGGTGATGAAAGCCACAGCGCGGGAGCAGGAAGAAGGTGGGGTGCCTGAGGGAACAGGGGTGACTACTTAGATGTGAAGGGAGACTTGTGCAAAGGAGCAGGAGGGGCAGGGAGGGAGAGGGATGGAGGGAAAGAAACGGATGCCGGTGAGCACGCAGGCTCTGCACTGTGTACACCCCAGATTTTCCACATTTCTTCCTCACAATACTGTGAAGTTGCTACCAGTTCATTTTACAGATGAGGAAACTAAGGCCTAGAGAAGTTAATCTATTTTCCCCAGATCACTGATACACCATCAAGGGGGAGTGTTTGCTGACTACGTTGTTTAGAATGGCCAGTGCACAGTAATGATAAAAAGTAGACTGTTTTTTAGTTGGTTGATTGTGTTAATTGTTTTCAAGTTCTCTATAGACAAGCACCCCTTATCACCTGCACCCAGGGCTGAACCCTGACACCCCCCTGACCCTGACGCACTCCTGTCCAAGGTCACACTGCTGGCAGATAGCAAAACTGGGACTGAACCCAGGTCCATCTAACTCCAAGGGCTGCGTCAAGTCTTCTGTCCTCAGCCTGGCACACTTGCTGGGAGCTCTCTATGCCATCCCCCTGCTCTCTTCCCCTCTGTCCCTCCACAGGGGTCTGCTGGTCCTCTTCCCAATCTCATGGATCCCCTTGCCTGACCTCAGAGGAGGGGAATGTTTTCTCCACCAAGCAGCCCGATTCACACCCCAAGAGGCCAGAGCTGGAGGGCAGACTGGGTTGGTTCCCTTGAGAGCTCCGGCGTGTTTGCACCACTGTCATCCTCAGGGCATTCTGGACCATTTGGAGCCCTGCATCTCCTCTTTCTGAAATATCTGCAAAACCAAATGAAAAAAGCAGAGGGATAAAGGACGACTCCCAGATTTTTGGCCTGAGCTACTGCAGGATAGTAAGCCTGATGAGTAGAGTTTATTTAGTAGGAACAATTGGGAGAATACTTGAATATATTAAGGTTGAGATACCTATTTGATATCTGAATAGAGATGTTGATCAACATATACATGTGGCATGCAGAGATGTTCAGGATAGAGATATGCCTTGGCAGTCCTTAGCATTTGAAGTCATAATAGTATTTAAAGTCATGAGGCTATGTGATGTCACCAAGGCAATGAGTATAGATAAATATGTGAACAAGAGCCCAGGGATGCTGTGGTGTGCACAGGTTGGGGATATGAGGAGAAACTGGGTAAGAAGATTCAAAAGGAGCAGCCAGTAATATGGGAAGAAAACCAGAAAAGAGTGGCATCAAGAAACCAAAAGGAGAAATTGTTTTAAGGAAAAGGGAATGATTAAAACCATGTCAAATCCTGCTGCTGAGTTAAATAAGAACTGAGAACAGACCACTGAATTTAGCAACATGGAGGCCATTGGCAATCTTGACAAGAAGTATTCTTTTATTATTACTTTTTTGCTTCTTTTCCCTTCAGACATACACCAGATAGCTGGGTCAACGGAAAGCAGTAGTAAACTAGGAACAGAGGGAAACTTCCTCTACTTGATAAAGGATATTTACCAAAAAACCTACAACTAACATCATATTAGTGGTAAGAAACTTGAAGTTTTTCCACTCAAATCAGGAATGAGGCAGAGATGGCCCCTCTCACCACTGCTTTTCAACCCTGTCCTGGAGCTTCTAGCTAATGCAGTAAGAAAAAGAATTAAAAGTATATAGAGATTGGGAAGGAAGAAAATAGTGAGGAGCTGAGCTGGAGAGCTCCAGTCAAGAGCAAACCTCCCCTTTAAGAGCATACCTTCTCTTTAAGAGCATACCTTCCCTTCCACGTCAAAACCTAAGCATCCAGACAAGCACAAGTTCCCTCCCCAGGCACAGGACAGGTAGGACGACCCATGCCTCACACCAGAACATAAAAAGTAAACAACTGTCTCTGGGTCCTGAAGTATCTGCAGAATGGATAACACTGATAATATTACCCTTTGCTTAGAACTTTTCCATTTCTTTCCAGATGCTTATTGCTTTGTGTCTCTCTATCCTAACCAAAGAGTCGTCAATAACGCCAGGCAGCTGCACAGACAGGATTATAGATCAGCCCTGTTATGTACTGGGGGGCTCAACATCATGTGGTTAACTCTCCATACTGATACATGGCCAAATTATTGGCATGCTTTGGCATCACATTATGCCACAGAAGTGTTGACTAGTGGAAGTCCTCAAGATGACTCTCCAATCACCATCAGGATAGAGAGTGTCCCCTGGCACCAAGCACACTATTGGAGACAGAGGAGGTACCTGATCCTGGTGAGTGAATGAATGAATGAATGAATCTCTCCTTTGAGTGTTTCAAATCAGACATGCATCTACACTAATCCAAATAAGCTTTACATAAGTTCAACTCTTACATAAACAGCCAAACCAGATCATGAAGGATAGATAAAACACTGCAAAAGGGTTTGGGACTCTTTAATCACCTACAGCGATACAGAAGACATCGACATATCTTTTACTCAGAGCTATGCACTCTGTCTTCTGCATACCCCATCTCTTTAGGGAGTTCTATCTGTATAGATGCATCCCTTGCAAACCTCTTGCTGGAGCTGTTACCATCTTAACTTTCTGGTGGTTAACCACACTTGCAGTGTAAAAGTCTCTTGGATTTATGACCAAAGCAAATTAATGTCCCCATAATGGCAATTGTGGTAGACTTGTGTGGAAAAAATGGGACCATAATGTTTATGTGTTTATGTGTTTTTAATGTTTATAGGTTTGATGGTATAGCCCTGTTCCTGAAAGTAGGTGTGTCTGAGATTAGCTCATTGTTAAGGTTATAGGCATGAAGAGTTTCTGCTAACTACCCAAGCTCATAAATGCCTCCAAAAGGACTTTTTCATTTTTATGGGGCCAATCCTCAGATCCCAACACACATAAAAGGGGTGACAAGAGATCCACTAACCTCAGAGGGACTCCCAGCTCCAGCTTGCCCTGCTCCGCAATTGCTGCTTTGCTCTCATCCAGGAAGCCATCATGTCTTGCCGTTCCTACCGAGTCAGCTCTGGTCGCCAGATAGGCAACTTCAGCTCTTGCTCAGCAGTGATGCCCCAGAGCCTGAGCCGCTTCCGGGCCAGCTCTGTCTCCTGCAGGAGTGGGCCCGGCTTCCGGGGCCTTGGCGGCTTCGGTAGTCGGAGCGTCATCGCCTTCGGATCTTGCCCACCCCGGATGGCAGCTGTAGGCCCTCGTCCTATCCGCTGTGGAGTTGGCTTCGGTGCTGGCAGTGGGCTGGCCTTTGGCTTGGGTGACAGCTGTGGTGCTGGTCTGGGGTTTGGGGCTGGCAGTGGCCTTGGTTATGGCTTTGGTGGTCCTGGCTTTGGCTACAGAATTGGAGGAGTTGGAGTCCCAGCAGCTCCATCTATCACAGCAGTGACTGTTAACCAGAGCCTGCTGACCCCCCTCAACCTGGAGATCGATCCCAACGCCCAGAGGGTGAAGAGGGACGAGAAGGAGCAAATCAAGACCCTCAACAACAAATTTGCCTCCTTCATTGACAAGGTACCTATGGCAGCTCCTTGGGTCTGGGATGATGAGAACTAAAATGCTTTGGGGTGTTCTACCCCTTAAGAAGAAGTGGCCCAGGCCTAGGGCATCGATCCGGATCCCAGATCCTTCAGGTGTCAACCAATGGCATTGCGGGAGGATGTCTGGGTCTCTCTGCTGCAGAGCAAGGACACGCCTGAGGAAATGCTGCCTGGTGGGATAGACTAAGACAGGGGTTGTGTCTTTTGGTGGAAAGAAGAATATCCAGCCAAACCTGAGGGCATCTGGACAAACTAAGGCCTCCCACCAGGTCCCTTAGTAGTATCTCCAAACAGGCTAGAAATGTTAGGACTTTGGCCATTGGCCGATAAATGTTTTAAAGGTGTTATCCTTTGAGATCTTCATGCTCTTTTTGAAATGTTCGTGGTTTCCGAGGCTGGCTGGCCACGTCTGTGCAGGCTTAGGGAAGTGAAGAATGGCACTGAATAATTTTCATACAAAACAAAGAATTCGTATCCCCCATGTGGAGTAGCCAGATTCCGCTGAGTTGCCTAAATTGAGGGAAATAACAGGAAACCACCATGGGGTAGACACTGATCTGAGGAGAGGAACAGTGTTGTGGAGCTGACATGTCTCTGTGGAGTGGGAATAAGTTGATTGTGTCTGAGAATGGAAACTGGCTTCCTCATCTCTGAAATGAAGAATTGGAGCAAATGACCCCCATCTTCTCCAGCTCTACAAGTCCCAGCTAACGGAATATCTGGGATGGTGGGTGTGACTTGTGACCTACAAACGCCATATCCCACCCCGATGTACTCTGCTTCTCATTCCCTCCCCGGGAGGCCCAGGATGGATGCCATAGTCTTCAGATACAGGCAAACCCCAGCTCAGGCAGCTTCCGAGGGAGCTGGCTCATACATTTCTCAAAGGTAGAAGGGGAAATGGTATTTAAAGCTTTGCTTCAAAAACCTCTGCTTGTAGCAAAGCCTGGCAGAACATGAGGAGGGGGTCACAGGCCTGCTCTCCAGCTTCTGCTGAGTTAGTGGAGGAATGAAAGTCAACAGAGGAGAAAATAATGTCAACACGGGGTTGAGAGTCACCTCTGGTCATCTGAAGAACTGGTTGACACATAGGTGACTCTATTAAGCACTTCAATTGCCATTTCTTGCCCCTGTGGATTTAGGTGCGGTTCCTGGAACAGCAGAATAAGCTCCTAGAGACCAAGTGGAACTTCCTCCAAGATCAAAAAAGTGTCCAGAGTAACCTGGAGCCCATGTTTGAGAACTACGTTGCCAACCTGCGGAGGCAACTGGACATCGTGAGCAGTGACCAGGCCCGGTTAGAGACTGAGAGGAACAACATGCAGGACGTCCTTGAGGGTTTCAAGAAGAAGTGAGTGGCATCTGAACTACACAGACCAAAGGCAGACATGGGCTAGTCCACAAAGCAGCTGCCAAGCTCGGATGAGAGCAGCTGCAAGGATGAGGGTGGAGTCCTGGTTTCATACCTAGCCTGGAGACAGGGGTTGGGGTCAGTGATATGCATGGGAGGAGGAGGCCCTCCCTGGGCCTCAGAGAAAAGGAAACTTGGAATTGGCTTGATTTTTCCCTAATCCTGCCTGTGGAAATGGGTACGTTGACCCCAGAGAAAGGAGCCCTCTGATTTTGAGAAGAGTGTTCAGATTCAACAATGACTTGAGTCGTACTTTCTCTGTGGTCAAGTGCAATGATCCTAAGTCTTTCTAGCAGAGGAGCATAGAGTAGTGTCAGATTTTCAGACCCCAAATCCAATTTGAGAAAGTGAAAGGGATTTGGAGAACCTGAAGACCCCTGGCTCATAAAAGGTCCTAAAGATGGAAGAGCATGGATAAGAACATGTGGGTGGCAACAGGTTGCCATGCTCCTGAATGGAGCAGAAAGGCCTTAACAGGCTCACTGGGGGGTTGGGAATAATAGGCTCTCAGTTAAGAATGGGTACTCACCCTCTCAATCCTTATCATCCAGGTATGAAGAAGAGGTGGTGTTCCGGGCCAACGCCGAGAATGAGTTTGTGGCTCTGAAGAAGGTAAGGAAAAACAACAGGTCCAGGCAAACTCTCCTCAGAAAGGCAGTGTTTTCAAGACACCTCCCCCCTACCACCCCACCCCCAGTAAACTTCCCAGACAGCCCTGTGGAGTCTGGGACTACTCAAACAGAGTAGATCCCCTATGGCCATAACAGTTTCCCTTCGAAGTTCTGATTTGGCCTCTTTTATTTAGAATTGGGTTTTCAAGAGAGCAGGGGTCTGAAGAGATGCCCTTGCAAGAGTCTTGGATTATCTGTATTCTCCTTGCCTCTAAATAAGCTTTGGAAAATGTCTAGCCACCCCTGGGGAGCATTCATGCTGCAGTAGGGAAAAGCACAACGATCACGAGATGCATTTCCACCCACTGACTCTACCACCCATCCCAAAGCCTGGCCTGGTCAGGGACTGACCTGATCTTCCCACCCATCTCCAGACCCTGCTAGGGTGAGAAGCTTAAACAGCACACAAGCAGCACACCTTTTATCCTTCTTTCTTTCATGCAGGATGTGGATGCAGCTTTCTTGAATAAGTTGGACCTGCAGGCCAATGTGGACACCCTAATTCAGGAGATTGACTTCCTGAAAAACGTATACATGGCGGTAAGGGCTCACTCTCTCTGAGCCATCCAAGGACATCAGCACTTGGCCTGGACTCTCTGGGGGCTGCATCGGGACTGTCACACTTTCTGACATTTGGTATCACACTGCCTTCCTCCCCTCAAACCTGTATCCTCTACATCAATATATCTACAGGTAGAGAAAGCTAAGTTAAGCAGGCTTCCAGCAGCCTGACTCAGGCCTATGAATAATCTCCTTAGATCTATGATACAACTCCTTATTGGCGAGTCCAAAGACTGGAGTCTAGGAATGTCATTTCCTATCTGCTGATCAGAAGACTCCAGAAAACAGATTTCTAGGTGTTAGAAAAATTGTGTTTGACCTAGATTAACCATACCAGCTGTCTTTTGCTTCATAAGCAGTCTGCTTGGTCTGGTAAAGATCTAGCCAGAGCCAAATATCTGGCTCTGAGCAGAAAGTCTGAAGAAGGCTCCCTTGCTTTGCAGGTCCCCCAGTTCTATTAAGGACTTGGGACACAGGAATTCCTAGATCACCATGTTCTAAAATACTGTCAGTGCCCAATGATCCATCATCAGTGCAACCGCTGTGTGGGTGATCCAAAGAAAAGTTTAAGCCCTATCATGGCTCTCATTCCCCTCCACCAAGTTCCCAGGTTCCTATTCTTTTAATGTTCACCTAAGCAAGTTAGAGTGTTAAAGGGATGTCTCTGAGTATATAACAAGGGTTTAAAGTCAAACCGAAATGGTTCTTGGTCACATCTTTTTCTTTGCCCTTGGTTTGGATGGTCTGCTCCATTGCTTTGCTCTGAACAAATGGGCAATGCTCTCTGCTCCTGAAACAACATCCTGGAGACCCTGTGGCAGAGTCCCAGCCACTGATGGGACACTGAGCCCCTCTGTCATGTTGATCCTCCAACACAGGAAATCCAGTTGCTGCAGTCACACATCTCAGATACATCGGTCATCGTGAAAATGGACAACAGTCGGGACCTGAACTTTGATGGGATCATCGCCGAAGTCAAGGCCCAGTATGAAGAGGTCGCCAGGCGCAGTCGGGCTGATGCTGAGGCCTGGTACCAGACCAAGGTGGGCAGCGGTTTGCTAGGGAACAGGTGTAGGCAGCCAGTCCTGGAGTACGACTCATATACAACAATAACGGGGGCCCAGTGGGTGACTGAAGCCTCCAGCTAAGTCAAGACTGTGGTCTTGATGCAACCTTTGAACCCTTGGAACATCCCCCTTCTCCCCAGTATGAGGAGATGCGAGTGACAGCTGGCCAACACAGTGACAACCTGCGCAACACGCGGGATGAGATCAATGAGCTGACCCGCGTGATCCAGAGGCTGAAGGCAGAGATCGAGCACACCAAGGCTCAGGTGGGCAAAGGGAAGGTGGGAAAGCCCCAGGGGAAGGAAAGGCAGAGGGCTCCACACTTCTGGAGCTGCAAGTCTGATGCTATGGGGAACACCACCAGGGCCCAGAAGCAGAGGAATGGAGGGATCAGTCCAGGAAGACTTTGTCCAAGAAAATGTAGAAGGGAAGAAGAATCTCTCTCTCATATAAAAGGAAAAAGCCTCAGATAGACTCAGAGGGGCAGATGAGGCAGGAAGGATAGCTTTACTCTCTACACCCCATGGGCTTTGGAACAGCAGAAATCAGAAAATACAAAATCAGTAGGGATGGAAACAGAAGAAAAGCAACATTCCTCCCTTTGGTGACATCAAACTATAGGATCACAGTTCCTGGGAAGGTAGACACCAGGGGCTCCAACCCTGGTTGACACCAGGCGGGGTCCCCACCAACACACCAGGGGATCCAGCCCCACCTAGGGATCCCCTAGTCCCTGAAAAGCCCACCTACAAACTGCCCTCCCTGTAGCGGGCCAAGCTGGAGGCTGCGATAGCTGAGGCCGAGCAGCAGGGCGAGGCTGCCCTCAACGACGCCAAATGCAAGCTGGCGGATCTGGAGGCCGCCCTGCAGCAGGCCAAGCAGGACATGGCGCGGCAGCTGCGGGAGTACCAGGAGCTCATGAACATCAAGCTGGCCCTGGACATCGAGATCGCCACCTACAGGCGCCTGCTGGAAGGCGAGGAAATCCGGTGAGTGCTCTCAGCGCAGCGGGAGAGAGTGAGGTTCGACTTCTGCATGGGCGGAAGGGGACCAGGTGAAGAACTACGGAAATGAGCAATCTCTAGAGGTACCAGGACTTTTCTGCAAATCTTAGTCAGGTTGCCCTTGGCAAGAATTAGAAGATGACTCTAGATCTGTGCCTCCTAAAGGCAAGTTTGTAGACAGGCTACACCAGAATCATAGGGAGTTTTGCTTATTAAAAATAATAATAATAACACATTTCCTTCAACATTTTGACTCAATAGTTTTGGGGTAGCGCCTAGAAACATGTAGTTTTTCCAAGCTCCCACAATGCTTGTACAACTAGGGGCAAGAACCACTTGCCCACTGGTCTGTTCAGCCAAGAAAGCCCTTTTAATAGCAAGTGGATTTGCAAGGAACAGCACTGCTTTTGAACTGACTTGTTTCTTTCTCTCTCCAGGATATGCGAAGGTGTTGGACCAGTAAACATATGTAAGCCACTTAAGTCTTTTCCTCTTTACATTTCTCTCTCGGGACCGTTCAAATTTCCTTTACACTTGAGTCCACATTGGAATCTAGAACCCATGGCTGGGCTGGCCGTGACAGTCAGGGGCACATAGATCATCTGATCCCTGGATGGGGAGCACCCCCTTAGCTGAGGTATGAGATCTCTCTGGAGGCTTCCTTGCCCAGAGCTAAGCAATCACAAAGTTTTGCAGTGCCTATTAGGTGGAAGAGGGTTCCAGAAGAGAGTCAACCCTTTTGCTTTGAGTGGCTTTATCCTTCAAGGGTAAAGACCAGGGGAGGAATAGGGAGGCCTATGCCAGGGAGTCCCCCCCAGGGTGGCAGAGGATGGGACACAGCTGAGCAGAAGTCCCCCTCCTGCTGCTGACAGACAAAGCATTGGTTGTGCACAAAGCTCTCAGGGCATTGTACTGGGCACCTGAGGGGGCAGACAAAGACGGTGAGATCTGGCCCCTGCTCTCTAGAATGATAATCTTGAGAAGATGAATCCTACCCACTGTCACCCTAATCCTCAAAGCACTGGGGAGAGGAAGAGGCATTGGTACCCCCTTTTGCTCACTCAGAGAAAGCACGTGATTTGCCAGAAGTCAGAAAGCTAGTCAGGCACAGCCAGAATAGCCATCAATGATTCAGACGAGAACTAGCAAGGGCTCTTGCTAGAAGGGCAATGTGGGAACCAAAATGGAACATGATATAATTGGAAGAGAGAAGCTTTATGGAGGCTAGCTCCACTGTCTGGAAATCCAGCTCACCAGCCTCTCACATGACTCAGTCCCACTTTGGCCATATATAAATGACAGTCAATTGACGGCTACATGCAAACGCCTGGGGAACTGGCTGAGTTCTTCCACTGCAGTCTGAATGTCTGACTTCAGCAGTCACACAAAGCCTTTGAGTCACCCAGATAAAAGAAGGGAAAAGTGGATATTGACTGTGTAGACAATAAGGACCACTAGGATGCAGCCAGTTTCCCTGATGAGGTCCTTTCCCCTCAACCCTCCAGTGGGGAGCACAGAGGGCTGGGTACCTGGAGTGGGCAGCCTTGCTAACAGTTTCTTCTTCCCTTCTGCAGCTGTGAGCAGCTCCCGGGGTGGCGTCGTGTGTGGGCCTGAGCCCCTGCTCACCAGTTCTACCCTCTCCCGTGGTGGGGTCACCTTCTCCGGTGGCAGCAGCATACGGTCCAGTGGTGCCTGTGGCTTGAGCCTGGGTGGGAGCCGGGTTGTTGCGGCTGGCGGGGACGTGCTGAGTGCAGGCTCCCGGGGGGGCTCAGTGCTTGTGGGTGATGCCTGCGCCCCCAGCATCCCCTGTCCACTGCCCACTGAGGGGGGCTTCAGCAGCTGCAGTGGGGGCCGTAGCAGCCTCGGCTCCAGTGTCCGCTTCGTGTCCACCACCACCTCCCGGCGGACCAAGTATTGAGAGGCAAGTGCCGGCCAGCCACTGCCCAGGGAAGAGCCGTCTCAACTTCTCCTGCTTCTGTCCCTGAGGGGTCTGGACTCTAGGCCAAAGGGGGCTCCAGCTACCCCTCCTGCCAGGAAGCTGACACTCTGCTCTCCCCAGCGGCTGCCTTTCCAGTCAGTGTCCTCTGTGGGGAATTTTTTTCACCACCTAGACGCTCCATCTGCAGCACCAGCTAGACTGGCTTTTCCTTGACTCCCATTTTCCTTCCTTTGGAACACTCCTCACTATCCAGCTGAACAGCTTCAAGAAATGCAATTACAAAAATTAGTACACTGGGGAGGAAAAGAATAGTCTAAAGCCAAAACAAATGTGTTTGGGCACCATCACCATTAATGGCTTTGTATTAATTTGGAAAATGGAAAATTGACTGTCCACACTGCAGGTGTCTTTAGCCCATCGTCCTTTTCCTGACAGGAGAAGGTTCCTCCCTTCTCTTCCTGACCCAGAAGGATCCAGTCCTTGTTGGCCCAAGGATTCCCTTAGTCTCCCGAGATGGTTCTTCTCTGAATGGCATATGTCCTAGCTGCTTCTCTTCCTGGGTTGTTGTTTTAACTCCCGCATGTGAGTCCACGATGTGGGTGGGGTACAGGAGAAGAGGTGGGCTCTGCAACACTCCATGTACCCTGCCCCTGTTGGTGGTGTAAGGGAGGCCAAGTCACGTCCACTGCTGGAGGGCCTATGTCTGCAAGCTTCAGGGAGGCCTGAGGTGGGGTAGGGTGCCTGTTTGTACTGTCCTTTGTGTTCCTGGTTTTCAATAAACTTGCCAAGCTAACATCACTAAGACTCTGGCTTCTCCTTCTGGATCACACTGAGTATGGAAGAGATTGTCTCCTCGACTTGGTCAGCTCACCAACCCAGCTCCAGGGCACTTATTAAGGGCAGAGTCTGCTGTCCTGATCACAGGGGATGTACTGAGGAAAGAGGGCTCAGGCCCTTCCTTGGAGGAGCTCACAGTTCACCAATGGAGAGGAGCCATGTAACAAAGGCTCTGAAACAAGTGCCAAGCAGCCCACTTCTCTCCAGGCATTGTTCTGTACCTCATAGGCACTTCCCTGGCCAAGGCAAAGCCTGTCTACCTGTTCCTAAGATCCCACTCCAGCTCCACTTCCTCTGGGATAATTGCAGGGACTGTCTCATCTTTCTGCCCCCATTCTTGTCCCTCTCCAGCTCCCTCATCATGATGCTGCTAGAGAGGTTTTTCCTCAAATAGAAAATGAATCATGGATCTCCTCTGCTCACAGTCCTCAGTGGCTCCCCATTGCCTTCCAGAAAGAGCCCAAACTTCTTAACATGGCACACAAGCCTGAGTGATCTACTCATATACTTCTACTCCCTGCCATTTCTTCCATGCACTGCACTTCTGGCCCCTCAACTTTTATTTGTTCATCCAACAAACATTTGATGAGTTCTTACTACGTTCCAGGCCTGATGCTAGGAAAATAGCCGTGAACAAGACTTGGTCCTTGCCCTCAGAGTTTACCACCCAGCCTGATAGATGGACAGGTAAACAGGCAATTATGACTTGATATTCTAAGTGCTGCATTAAAGAGTAGAATCAATCTTACAGTGCACAGAGGAGAGGCCTTACGCAGACTTAGGGCATCATTAAAAGCTTCCTGGAGGATGTGATATCTCAGCAAACATGTGAATGATGATGAATTAGCTTGATGATGATGAATAAGTTGAATATAGGCTAATAGAAATTACCCAATCTGAATAATAAAGATAAAAGAAAATTGGAAAAAATATTTTAAGCTAAAGAAAAGTGACACATTACATATGGGGGAACAACTCAAATTATCACAGATTTTTCAATAGAAACCATGAAAGAAGATTTAAGACAATGGAACAATATCTTTAAAGTGCTGGTGGGGCATGGGAGATGGAGAGAAAGAACTGTTAACTGAGAATTCTATACCCAGCAAAAATATCCTTCAGAAGTACTTTTAAAAATAGACATCCTCAGATGAAGGAAAACTAAGAGAATTTACCACATGCAGACCAACTCTAAAAGGGAGGCAAAGGTTCTTCAGAATTAAGGGAGATCATTCCAGAGGGAAACATGGAACTTCAAGAATAAAGGAAGAGCAACAGAAAAGGAAATTATTGGGCTAAGTATAAAAGACTATTTTCCTTCTCTTATATTCTTTAAAATATATATATATGACTATTGAAAATAAAAATTATAACATTATCTGATGGGATTTCAATGTATGTAGATGCAATATCTATAACAATTATAAAACAAAGGGAGGAACGCAAATGTAAGGCTTCTACATTTTACATGAAGTGACAAAACATTAACTCTAGGATGACTGCAAAATATTAGATCATGTACATTGTAATCTCTAGAGTAGCCACTAAAAAATAATAATAAAATAAACATACAGTCCATAGGTAAATTAAAACAAATATTTTTTAACATTCAAATAATCCAAAGAAGGCAAGAAAGGGGTAACAGAGAAACAAAAACCAGAAGGGACAAAAAGGAAACAAATAACAATGGTAAATCTACATAAAACTGTATTAATAATCACATATAATGTAAATAGTCCAAACACACCAATTAAATGGCAAAGATTGTAAGACTGAATTAGAAAAAAAACAGACTCAAATATATGCTCTATACAAGATATCTATTTTAAATATAAAGGCATAGAGAGGTCAAAAGTAAAAGGACAGAAACAGGTATACTATAAAAATAATAATCAAAGGAAAGCTGGAATGATTGTGTTAATATCTGATAAATTAGATTTCAAAACAAACAATATTGCCAGCAGTAGAGATATTATATTGTTATCAGTTTACCAAGAAGACATAACAATCTTGTATGTGTATGCACCTAACAACAGAGCTTCAAAATACATGAAGCACAGCTGATATAACTGAAAGCCAAAACAGACAAATCCACATTATACTTGGATATTTAAACATTCCTTTCTCAGTAATTAACAGAAAAGGTAGACAGAAATCAGTAAAAGTATAGAAGACCTGAGCAACACCATCAATTAACCTGACTTAACTGAACACACCACCCAACAATAGTAAAATACACATTCTTCTCAAGTGGCAACAGAGAACATTCACCAAGATAAGCCATTTCTTGTCCACAAAACAAATCTTGACAAGTTTAAAAAACTCTACCCCATACAAAGTATGTTCTCCAACCATAATGGAATTAAAGTATAAATTAAAGTCAGAAAGCTATCTAGAAAAAAAACCCAAATACCTGAAAATCAAACAGCACACTTTTAAATAACAAATGGGTCAAAGACAGAGTCACAAGGAATATTAAACAATATTTTAGTCTAATGTAAATGGAATCACAGCATATCAAACTTTGTAGGATGCAAATAAAGCAATGCTTTAGATACTTAAGTCATAATAGAAGAAAGGTCTCAGACGGGTTATTTAAGCTTCTCCCTTAAGAAACTAGGAAAAGAATAGTAAACACAAAGCAAGCGGAATAAAGGAGATAATAAAGACAAGAGCGGAAAACAATGACATTGAAAAGCAAAACAATAAAGCAATGAAACCAAAAACTAGTTCTTTCAGAAGATCAATGGAATTGATAAACATCTAGTGAAACTGACCAAGGAAAATAAAAGAAACCGAACAATAATTAGGAATATTAGGAGTGAAACAGGGGACATCTCTACAGGCACTACAGATATTAAAAGGATAATAAGGGAATATTTTAAACAGCATTACCCCCATAAATATGTGAACCTAAATGAAATGGATCAGTTTTTTGAAAGACAAATTACCAAAGCTCCTTCAAGAAGAAATAGGTAACCAAAAAGAGAGCTAGTTTCATGGGTGTGTGTAGTATTGTGATTTGTAACAAGAAAACAAGTATTCAATTTTCATCCCCTCCTGGCACAAATCTCCTGAAACCCCTATAATTTCCCAAGTGATCAATTTTCTGAGTGAACCAATCATGACTATGAACTGAATGTCCATAAAAACCCAAAAGGACTGGTTTGGGAGTGTTTCCAGGTTGGTGAGCACATGTGGGAGGAGCGGTGTGCCTGGAGAGGGAATGGAAGCTCTGTGCCCTTTCCCCGTACCTTGCTGTATGCATCTCTTCCATCTAACTGTTTGTGAGTGATATCCTTTTATAATAAACCAGTAATCTAGTAAATAAAATGTTTCTTTGAGTTCTCTGAGCCATTCTAGCAAATTGATCGAACTCAAGGAGGGGGCTGCTGAAACCTCCAATCTATAGCAGGTTAGTCAGAAGTCCAGGCATTAGCCTGGGCTGGTGACTGGTGTCTAAGAGCGGGGTGGGCAGTCACAGTCTTGTAGGACTAAACCCTTAACCTGTGGAATATGATGCTGTCTCTGGGTGATAAGATCAGAATTGAGCTGAATTATAGGATACCCAGCTAGCATCCGAGAATTGCTTACTGATATGGGAGACCACACACACACACACACACACACACACACACATATGTCAGATTGTGACCAGAACAGTTGATAAGATCAGAATTGAGCTGAATTATAGGATACCCAGCTAGCATCTGAGAATTGCTTACTGATATGGGAAACCACACACACACACACACACACACACACACATATGTCAGATTGTGACCAGAACAGTTACTGTCTGTCTTGTGTGATCATAGTGTCCTCAGCCATAGAAAGTCTCCCCACATGGTTTAATGACTTTTGTCACCACCTTGAAATTCTTCATTTTTAACAAGGAGCCCTAGATTTTTATTTTATATTGAGCCCCATAAATTGTGTAGTCAGTCCTACCTGAATAGCTGCATATCTACTAAAGAAATTGAACATGTATTTTTAAATCTTACAACAAAGACAATTTCAGGCCCAAATACCTTCAGTGGTGCATTAGACCAGACATTTAAGGAAGAATTCAACCCAGATTCTTCCAGAAAACATAGAAAAGAAAAAACTTCCCAACTCCTTTTACAAGAGCAGCACTACCCCGATACCAAAAGCAGACAAAGATGTAATAAAAAAAAGAAAACCACAAATCAGTATCTCTAATGAACATAAGTGTAAAAATCATTATTGACAAAATATTACTGGATTGAATACAGCAACCAATAAAAGGATGATATCATAATACATAGGGTTTATTTAGCTTAGGAATGCAAGAGTGGTTCAACTTTCAAAAATCAATTAATACCACTCATGATATCAACAGACTAAAGAGAAAAAAAATCATACAATTATCTTGATAGATGCACAAGAAGCATGTGACAAAATTCAACATCCATTCCTGATAAAAAAAACTCTCAGCAAACTAGGAATAGATTGGAGCTTCCTTAACCTGGTAAATGGCATCTACAAAAACAAAAACCAGCAACAATGACAGAAACAAAAACCCTACAGCTAAAAGCATCCTTAATATTGAAAGACTGAATTATTGGGAAAACATTAGGGGTTCTGCTCACACTACTATTAGTCCATGTTATACAAACAGGCCTAGCTAGCGAACTAAGAAAAGAAGAAGAAATAAAAGGTGTATGGATTGGAAAGAAAGAAATACAACTGTTTTTATTTTCAGGAGGCATATTTTTCTACATAAAAAAATTCCAAGGGATCTTTCTGCAAACACCTAGTAGAGTTAATAAGTGAGTTTCACAAGGTTACAGGATGCAAGGTCAATATACAAAAACCAATTACATTTCTATATACTAGCAAAGAACAACTGGAAATTAAGCATATTTTAAGTATCATTTACAATAGCATCCAACAAAATGAAATATTTAGGTATAAGCCTTTAAGAAGT